GGTCAATAAAGATGTAGGTGTTTTGCCCCAGAAAACAAGTAAGATAACACACTTTATTTTGATCTCTCAGGTTCATCTTCTATCTCAAGGGCCTGAGCTGAATGATGTCAACTTCTCATTTGTTTCTCATTCTAGAACAACAAAAGAAAGAGAAGCAAGTCCAAGCAGCATCAAGGCAACAAAGATGCTAAGGACAAGGCAGAGAGGCCCGAAGCAGGGCCCTTGCAGCCTCCACCACCACCCCAGATGGAAGACGGCCACGTGAACGGCTGTGAGAAAGACAGCTCGTCCACAGATTCTGCCAGCGAAAAGCCGGCCCTTATCCCTCGGGAGAAAAAAATCTCGATACTCGAGGAACCTGCGAAGGCACTCCGTGGGGTCACAGGTCAGTAATTCTTACATAAAGTTGCTTAGGAAGACACAGAAGAGAAGGAGGCAGAAGGGAACCCACGGAGACGGTGGCGGCCGCTACTGATGCTGTTGGAAGAGAAAGGTCTTCCTTCCAACAAGGACTCAAACATCTTCCCACAGGAACAGGGTCGGGGGGATGTCACGGGGCAGAAGGAGAAAGCTCAGCATAGCCCCGCACTAAGAAGATAATTCTGTCCAAAGAACATAGTTCTAGTGTGTATTAGGATCATCAGGGAAACAGAAATCCCAGTTAAAAGAAATTTTCTTTCAAGACACCTTTGCTGGGGTAAGGGAGGAATAATTTGTGGTAACAGCAAATGTTATTAAAGGGTAGATCAGATTATTTAAACTCCTGGTATTTTGTATTATGTGACAGAACATAATCTTCCAGGGTGTTAGCATCTGGAATGTTAATTATTTGTACTAGAGCTATATCTTAACCTACAAAAGGCTACTTTTTAATCAAATTGTATGACCTTGGGTGCATCATTTCATCTCTAGTGTCCCATTTCCTTTCTGTAAAATAAGAAAACTGCACCAGAATGTACTAGACAGTTGTCTCAACACTATCTAAGCGAATGCTCCACTTTTATAACAAATCCTAAAATAAAAATCAGAGAAAATATAGTCTATCTAGAAACAGAATTTCAGTAAAGCAAAAAATATAAGAAATCTGGAACAACTAAACTAGAAAACCTTATAAAATGGTCAGATATTCACACCCACTTAAAATGAATCACTTTGCACTTAAAAGAAAACAATGGTCAACAGGATATTGTGGACACTGTTTTTTTTTATATATTTGATGCGTGAAGCAAGAAAGAAATAAGCCTGTTTGTATATAGACCTAGAATCACTCTGAAAGTGGCTACTACAAATGCAGGCTGATGCAGGGACGCTGGTTGTCAAGTCAGATACCGTGACCGCACGAGTCATTGGCTGTGCAGTTTTCCAAATGCTGCAAAGCTTTTGGTCAGTTCTGAACACCATGAAGTACAGTCTTTTCTTAATTCACCCCGTATTAAATCCTGGAACTCCATAGGAGAATTGTACAAAAAATACTTTGTGTTTATATGTAAAGCATCCAAGAGGACCTGAGAAAGTTCAGGACACAGGGCGATTCTTTGTTGTGCAGGATTCCTGTGATTTTAAGTCACCTAACTATGGGTGTAGGCCTCTCCACCCCACACACAAATTTTTAACAAATGCCTCCTAATTCAAAATGCCTGGCAGATCCCCTAGCGAGGACCACACCACCCAGTAATTCCTGCAGTCCTTCTTTTTTTTTTTTTTGACTTTTTTTTTATTCTTATGTTAATCCCCATACATTACATCATTAGTTTTAGATGAAGTGTTCCATGATTCATTGTTTGTGCATAACACCCAGTGCTCCATGCAGAATGTGCCCTCCTCAATACCCACCACCAGGCTAACCCATCCTCCCACCCCCCTCCCCTCTAGAACCCTGTTTGTTTTTCAGAGTCCATCATCTCTCATGGTTCGTCTACCACTCCGATCTCCCCCGCTTCATTCTTCCCCTCCCACTACCTTCTTCTTCTTTTTTTTTCTTAACATATATTGCATTATTTGTTTCAGAGGTACAGATCTGAGATTCAACAGTCTTGCACAATTCACAGCGCTTACCAGAGCACATACCCTCCCCAGTGTCTATCACCCAGTCACCCCATCCCTCCCACCCCACCCCCCACTCCAACAACACTCAGTTTGTTTCCTGCGATTAAGAATTCCTCATATCAGTGAGATCATATGATACATGTCTTCCTGCAGTCCTTCTTTTAGTTATAAAATCCCGCCCTGATCGACTCAGTGACTCTCTAAGCTCCTCTTACATGCTAACCACTGTGCTGTTAAAGCCACAGTAAATTCACAGAAGGATATGGTATGGTTGAGGCCCTGCAGGAATCGCTTTCTGTTATTCTCGAAGAGAAGGCTGAGTTGACAGTTTGGGGAAGAGAGGTGCTACATCCATGAGTGATCCAGGGAGGGTTCATGGGAGTCACGGTAATTGAAGGACCCATAGCCTTGAGGCGGAAGAAGGGATTTGGAGGGTTAAAAAGAAGTAGAAAGGACCGGACTCCACAACCTCGTGTACTGCAAGTCTGCAGCCTGTGAGGCAACGCTGTCCTCTGATCAGCCAAAAATGAGCAAGAGGGGCCCTGCCTAGGAAGAATTCAGCCCGGCAGAAGAGACAAATGCAAACAGACCATCTCATGGTGACGTGTACCAAACCAGGGCTCCCGTGGGGAAGCGTTAAATAACTCACATGCTGTACAACACGCTAGTAAGTTTTTAGCTTGCTCACCAAGCACTGATTTTCTTCCACAAACACATTACCTACCAACTCGACTGGTAGTGAGTGCAGTAATTCACATGACCCCTAGTGCACGGTGCTTCCTCAAAAGCAAACAGACAAACAACAGAAAGAGCTTATTTCCATTTAGAATCTAAATTTCCCAGGATTTTTTAAATTCAATTTTTACCATGCCTACAATTTTGAGAATATTTTGATCTATAGTAAGGGCAGGAGAAAAAAATTAAATAATCGAGTGGCAGATTCCCAACCTTGCTTGTTATTGCATTCACATGAATTACTTTCAAAATCTAATTACTCAAGTTGCCGTTTTGATATCAATCATAGACTAAAAGCCTAGCACGTATATTCGTTCATTTACTTATAATTTATACCTTCTTTCTAAAACAATTTCGGTAACTCTATCAAGTATATGACGTTAGAACAAATTCAATATTGAAGCGCTTCACTTCACAGTGGCTAGCTGTCTTGAAAGTTAAGTACCCACTAGAGGAGTTCTCTGTACAAGGAGGCTTTTGTCAGTTCTACCATGAAACTTTCTGTGAAGCCTCCTTTATTGCACAAAGAGCCATCCCAGGATCCTTTTGGTTTTGTTACGTTCAGCACGAAGGCATTGAAGTACGTCGGTATTATTTGTGAATGTTGCTGGTTCGGTACAAATCCATGCCTTACATCAATTTTCCTGTTAAAGAATAAATGATGATATGGAAGGTCATTAGATATTTTTGCAAAAGGAAGGGAGTCCTCCTGGTTGACCATTAACTTCATCAGCGGCTCACGTGTTATGATCATACATTTAAAAATGAGTTTGTAACTAGTTAGGTTTTCCTTCCAGAAGATAGTGAAAATTTACCAGGAAGGTGATGCCCAAACTGGGAAATGGCTTTGAAATGCCTGTCTGATCCATTGGCAGTCCCGAGGCCTCTAACAGCTATCTCACAGATGAGTGTTAGGTCTTGGACATCCTGCACCCCATTTTGAGCAGAGCCGTGGAACTAGAAAGCATGGCATTGATCCTTTAACCCCATCCCCTCACTGAATTGCTGAGGAAGCCAAAGCATGCCCGCACCCCGGGTTGAGAGGACAAGAAGAGAACCCACACCCCTGGGGTAACTCTTACCACTTTGCCAAAGCCTGACTCAGATCTGTGCAATTTAATGCATGCATTGGGGAGTTGCTGCTGAAACCATGGGCTCCCTGACTCCTAAAAGATGTATAATTGAAAAATTAGGAAAAAGGAATCATAACAAAGCCATATAATGATATTCTGTACTTGAGTGAGTTCGAAGTATGAGCGTAAAAGAAATCTCCAGTCTGCTTGCAGTGGAGCATTTATCAATCTTTCCAATAATGAAACTGGCTCAAGGAAGCTTGCCCCGAATGCCCAGCTGGGCAGCAGGCTGTGAACATGTGCAACGTGTGTTTTATCTTTTTATAACACCTTGACATTCAAGATCTCTCTTTTTAAAAAGTTTTAAACAGAATCATTTTCTGGTAGGGGAGAAGTTAGCTTTAAGATATATGCAGGTGGTTCAGGGGTGTTAGTGTGACTTCCTACATGAAAACTCACCACCAAAAGCATCATCGTTTCAGGCTGTAAATATAGCACTGACGAGTGGGACAATGCTGCCTGTCAGCCCGGAGCTTAGAAGTTTGGGAGTTTGATTTAAACTTAGTACAAAATTACTCCTTTAAGCCATGGAGTAGTTTTTTCTGTATTTCAGAATTTTTAATAACAGCTCAAATTAGATCTTTTACATAATCCAATCAAGATCATTCTGCATCCAAGTACAAAGTCAGACAAGGAGTAGATTAAGATTTATTTTTACCAAAAGTAATGCCACGGATCATGTTTAATCCTGAGGCCCATCTAAATGTCTAAAGCACATTATGACTTTAGGGTTCAACTTTCCTAAGTATTCGTCCTGCTCTACTTTTCCTAAGGCTCCGATTGCTGAAATATTTAGGTGTTTATCACAGTGTAGGCCCAAACAGGAATTCAGATTTCTGTGTTGTCTTCCTCCCACTGGACACAATTCCCATTGAATAGGAAAGGAGCAGGATTATGGGCCACCAACTGGCTCCATTGAGATAAACCTTGGGGCGGGGCTTTCGTCAGCTACAGCTCCTCTTGCTAGCCAGCAGGCTTCCTTTATGTCCCCTCATTTGGTGAAGCATCCTGGGAAGCCAGCTCTTCTGTTACTTGTTACCTGTCTCAAACAGAAGGCTCCATGCTGTGTTCACTGACCTCCACAAACCGGACTTCACGATCTGCTCTGTATCATAGAACAGGAACAGCCCCGTCATTTTGCCTTGACAATACGGATTCTCTGTTTTGGCATGGGCCTGGCACAGAACTGCTTCTCATTCCGCTTCTCATTCTCAGAGTGAACTGAACCAAATGTGAGAGAAAGTGTCCTGTTATTTTAGAATGTTGGCTGCTTGTCTCTCATTTGTGCTGATTGTTAAACACACACACACACACACACACACACACATACACACACACACCTCACCAGACTATTTCACAGTATTTTTATGATGTGAGGTTCCCTATAGGATTTCCAAACAGATTTTTTTTATGCTGCTGTTGGTCCTAGCCTCAAGATTATCTCCCCTGCTTCTCTAAGCCCTATATTGGACCAGAGGATTAGAAAAGATCAACAAGATGAAAGCAGCTTGCCTAGAACTTTAATAGTAAAGCCAAATGTGTATATTCTGGGATTTCAGCAGGACCAGCTCTCAAATGGAAGCAATATAATATTGTAGTGAAGAACCAGGCTTTAGCATTAGGGATGTTTGGATTCAAGTCTTGGCCTCGTCACTTACTAGGGTGTGTGACCCTCGACAAGTTAACCACTCTGCGTCTCAGTGTCCTCACCTGCAAAACAGAAAATATAACTCCACTTTACAAGACCGTGGTAAGCAGTAAGTGATTAGCACAGCATCTGGCGCGGAGTAAACCCTCAAATCATTTATCTACTTAGTGAACATTTTTAAGCATCCTGACACATGCCAGGAATTCTTCTAGAGGAAGTAAACAAGGCAACACAGTCTCTGCCCTCATGGAGTTTGTGTACGTTTTTGAAGGTGAGAGGAGATACAAAATCGACCAGAACAGAACCAAGTTACCAAGAGAATTCTGGATTATAATAAATGTTGTGAAGACCGTGAGTAGGAGAGAGACCAGGGCAGGGAGGGAGGGTGTGCACAGCGGCACGAGATAAGGCCGCAGTGGTGGGTGAGTGACTGAAGAGGAGACGCTGGGGCCGAGGCCCAGATGCCCCGAAGCAGGGTCTCACACGCCAGCTTGCAGTGGCCTGAGCAGCCCATGTTTTATTTAAACCTTAATTAAGGACTTGAGCTGAAACCCTTGCAGAGTTGTAACCATAGGTTTTTACTATTTTTTTAAATTAAAGATACCACACTTTTTTAATCTCTACAGCTGATCTTATTTTGTACTGTTATAAGAACATGCGTTTTGGAAGTTTACATTTTAAAGCACGTTTATCGTGATTATCACTCCTCCTTAATTATCATTTTAGCATCTGAATACTTAGCGTCAGCTCTTGGGTCTAGTTGTGTGTTGTTCAGTCTCCCCCTCAGCTCCCAGTGTCTGAACTGCTCAGGTAGCTAGGGGAGGCCTGCGAGTGCAGCTTCCATGACTGGGGACTCTGCTTCCTTTCTCTGGGTAATGATAAAGCAGAAAGAGACAGAGACACACACAGGATGTAGTGACACCCGGGCACAGGAAATGCAGAACCCCTGGGGTATTTTTCTGTCACGTGGGTAGAGTGAAATCCAGAGCTGTCTCCGTTCTCCTTCTCATTTGAAAGAGACTTTTGCTGCAAGCCTGCAGCAGAAACACAAAACTACTCATCTCTGAAGAGCTGATATCTTTGTAACTTCCCACCCGTACCTTGTTAGGTGATTTCCGTTACAGACAGACTTAATTAAATGGAATGCACTCCTTGCAAAGAACAAAAGACCTTCCAAAAAAAAATTTTTTTTAATTTTTGAACAAAGATTTAAACGGCTCTATCAAAATGCAATGAGAATTGAGACTGTTTTGTAGTGAAATAAGTCAGTGAAACAAATGAAGGGAACCTGCCCACCTGTGTCACCGACAACTTAACTCATTGACTTTATTATCTATTCTCTTTTTTTAAAAGAGTTTATTTATCTGAGAGAGAGAGACAGAGAGAGCATGACAGGAGGGAGGGGCAGAGGGAGAGGGAGAAGCAGGCTCCCCGCCGAGCAGGGAGCCCGATGCAGAACTCGATCCCAGGACCCTGGGATCATGACCTGAGCCGAAGGCAGACGCTTAACCGACTGAGCTATGCAGGTACCCCTATTATCTATTATCTTTTAATATAAATAAGCCTGGAGAGGTATTAATGACATATGAGACCTTGAAAAGTCATGTAAATAAAACTAAAAGGTTTCTTTCCAATCTGAAAATTACCAGCCTTATACCCACTGAACTGATCAAGTTTCATAGGACTTGAAATAATAAAGTCCATCTGTCTTTGATAAAGAAGTTATGAAAAGGCAGAACTGACTGATACTATGTCTTTGAAATAAACCTGTCTGTTTGGGTCTCTGTTTCAAAGTTACGGGTTCCTCTGACTTTGTTCATTCCCCTGTCGAGCAGCGACAGAAGAATGATGGAACATGCAAATCCAGGGGCACCATCACAGTCATGTGAAGAGTTTTCTTGGGGCTTCATCACTAGACCATTATTCTGTAACATCTGAAAGAATTATCTTTACTCACTCTCTCCATTTCTTCACCTCTGTCTCTCACTTATCAACCTATTCATTATGGCTTACAGCCCCATCACTCCAAAGACGTTGCTCCCACTAAGTTAATCAGTGGCCTCCATGTATTGAATCTAGCAGACACTTTGCAATCCTTTGTCTTTTTTTCTTTCTGCAACATTTAGTGCTGTTGATCACTCTATCCTTAATTACTCTGTCTCTTCTTTTTGGTGCCTATGACATGACACTCTCCTGATTTTCCCTCCATCTTCATTGTTCCTCTGTTTCCTTTGAGGGTCACTCTTCTCTACTTGGCTGTTAACCAGGGAAGTTCGTCAAGGCTTGGTTGGTTCCAAGCCCTTTCTCATATAAAACCGTACCATCTTCTTAGATCATTTCAACCATGCCCGAGTTTTAATTATATAAGCTGGCTCACAAATTCATCTTCCCAGTCCAGGCAACTCTGTTTTCCAGGCTCTTGCTTGACATTTTCACTTTAACAGTTCAAAGTCTTCAACGACATGCTTAAAGCAAACTCATGATCTCCCTCCCAGGCTCCACTTTCTTAAAGTGCTCATGATCCTAGTGTACTATCTATTTGATGTGCAAGCCAGAAATCTAGGCATCAGTCCTGACATCTTCTCCTCTCTCAACTCCCACATCCAATCCATCAACAAGTCCTGTCGATTTTCTTTTCCAGATATTCCTAGAATCCATCCAGTCTCACTGTGTTTCTACCTGTGCCTTCCCACCAAAGCCATTATCCTTTCTTGCCTGTGTTGCTATACGGGTTCACTGATTAATCTCCTAGCATTTACATTGTTCCCCTCTAAGTCATTCTGTATCCCGAAATCTTTTCAAAACCACAACTCTGAACTCTTAAGATAAAAACCAAAAGTCTCACCATGGCCTGTAGGCTCAGCATGGTCTGGCCCCTGTTCCAGTTCCAGCCTCACTGTATGGCCTACTCTTTCTTGCTGTCTCTACTCCAGCCATCCTGGTCCCCTCTCAGTCCCTCATGCTGGCTGTGGGTATCAGTCAGGTTCAAGTCTGGAGACAGAACCCACATGGTTTATTTGAATGGGAGGAAAGTAATACAGAGAATTACTAAAACACTAGAAATACCAGGAGGTGGTTAATTACTAAAAGGGATCTAGACACGCAAGAGAGTAGTTACTATCTCTAGGAAGGTTGGACAATAAAGAGAGCCCTCCAATCTAACACTGAGATTCTCCTCCCATCAAAGGTATATGGCCATCAGAGGAACATGCAGCCTTATGGTGGCAAAACAACAACAACAAAAACTTGCAGAGCCTGGACCGGGCTGTTCTGTAGAACGGTACCACTGCCAGAGGGTGTAGGGAGACTGGCCCTGCTCAGAGCCACGGGACACGGAGAACGCGGCAGGAGTGCCGCCCGGAGCTCCTGTGACGAATAAGCATAATAAAGAACCAGACCTGGAAGAGAAGAGTATGCCTGCCCTCTTAGCACGCATGGTCACGTTATCGCCCTCCCCTGATAAAGCCAACATCCCGCTGGCCGGCAAAAGAGAATCATTTACAGGGACCAGCTCCAGCACCACAAAGTGAGGCAAAGAAGGGGAGATTTGAGCTAAGAGACAGTAACTTGATAACTGGCACACAGTGCCCCCTCCTGCCCCCAAAGCCATCTCTGCCTGGCCTGCACTTTGCTGCCTCCTTAACCTGGTTAGTTCACAGGCTTTCGGGTGAACAGAGGTGTTGGCTGGGGAATTACTTGTATGAAGTCAGCTACGCCAGTGACAGACTTCAGAACACTGTGCACTTTTCTTTCATAACACTTATCACAGCTGCAATTCTACATTTGTTTGTGTGGCAGTTTGATTTATATGTCTTCCTAATACCCAGCAAGTTCTGGAAAGACTGAGAGCACATCTGCCTTTGATCACCCTTGTAGTTCTGGTGCCTAAAACAGTAACTGGACATGAGAGGCGCTCGGACAAACAAGCCTTTCTCCATGGAAGTATTAGTGATAGAATATGTAAAGAAGTGTAGGTTAAATTTTGTGAAGTCACTGTGCTACTTTTTAAAGACAATTATGAATTTTGTATTTCTGGTTTTAGAAGAAAATACTAATGAAGAAATTTGAGGGGCGCCTGGGTGGCTCAGTCATTAAGCGTCTGCCTTCAGCTCAGGTCATGATCCCAGGGTCCTGGGATCGAGCCCTGCATCGGGCTCCCTGCTCAGCGGGAAGCCTGCTTCTCCCTCTCCCACTCCCCATTTGTGTTCCCTCTCTCGCTGTGTCTCTCTCCGTCAAACAAATAAAATCTTTAAAAAAAAAATTTTTTTTTGAAAACTGAAGGTTTAAGGGGAAAAAAAATCCTACCTCCCTGAAACAACCACTGTTAAATTTCATTTCAGAATTTCTTAACTGCACAGATATATAGGATTTTTAAAAACAAATATTATTTAGTATGTGAACTTTTGTATTCTTTTTACTTAACATGACATGATAAACATTATCTCATTTCTTTAAAAACATGATTTTAATGGCCACATTGTGTTCTTATGAATTTGACATACTTCTTTTTATTCCCAAACTTTTGTCCATGTGGATTGTTTCCATTTGTTTGCTCTTGTAAATAATGCTGTAGTGAACATTTCTTATATATAAATCTTTATAAACAACTATAATGATTTCCTTGGTGTATTTTCTTAGAAATGGAATTTTGGGGTTCAGAGAGTATGATTATTTTTGAAATTCTTAATATATTGCAGTCCAGAAAGATTGTACTAATCTCATTGTTTTTATTTGTAAAACTGATTAGTAGGGTGATGGAACACTTTAAGATGTTTCTTTTCCATTTGCATATCTCTTTTTGTGAATATTTAAGAACACTAAGATTATGATCAAAGAACTATTATTATTATTAACAGTTACCATAAAACACTAACATATTGACTTAATTACTTTTAAGTGAATGTAACATGCTTTCAGTAACATAGACATTAGCAATTTTAGGCATAATTTGATAACAAAATTATACTTTGTTTCTTTTTCAGTTTTTTCTAAGTAGAACTACTTTATAATACTGTGTTAATCATCATCAGACAACTGCTTTACTGTGTACAGGAGCTGTGCTTTACGGTGTATAGTAGGATCTTAACTCAATGGGTTAAAATAATTTTTTTAGACCTACTCTTATATGTAACACATTTCTTAAACTTAGATTTGAATTCCGAGTATACTTCCTTCCGTCTACTTATAAATACATAAAGCTTCACTGAAGAGTAAAATCTAACAAGAAAAAAGAGTTTTCAGAAACTTTCAAGTCTGAACACATACATGACTGTACATATATTATGAAAATCTTTGAAACCTAGTCCTATATTTCTCCCAAGAGGAAGATTTGTTTTCTTTGGTAATGTTAACAAAAAACAACCACCACAGTTTATGTTTTGTTGTGTAAAATAAATCCACACAAGAAGCAATCAAATGTGACCTATAATGAAGAGAAAGATTAGTCATTAGAAGCAGAACAATATTGTTCATGAGTGAAGAAGCAAAATCTTCAACAAAATATTAGCAAGTTGAAGTAAGCAATATATAAAAAAGGTAATACACTATGATCAAGTGTGCTTTTTCCCAAGAATGCAACATTGGCTTAACGTAAAAACCGATTAATGTAGTTTGCTATATTATTAAAATAAAGGAGAAAAACAATATGATCATCTCAATAAGTGAGACAAAATAAAATCACTTGGCAAAATAATAAAAAGTCCCAGAAAACTAGGAATATAAGAGAATTTCCTAATAAACATATGAAAAATCTGCTCCACAGTTAAGATCATATTTAATAATAAATATTGGATACAGTTTCCCTAAGATCAAGAACAATGCAGGGACACCTATTCTGCATTGTACTAGGGTTCCTAACCAGTTTAATAAGGCAAGGAAAGACCGGAAAGAAAGACACTAAACTGCATTTACAGATGTCATTATTGCCTATATAGAAAATTTTAAGAAACCTATAAAAGACAAAAAAAAAAAAACTAATAAGGAAATTAGCAAGGTAAGTAAGTATAAAGTTCAATATATAAAAAATCAGTTGTATTTTTGCAGCCAACAATTGGGAAATGAAGTTTTTAAAAATATTATATTCAGTAGCCTAAGATATCTAAAATACCCAGGAATAAATTTAACGAAAGATGCACAAGACACTAAGAACTATAAAACAATGCTGAGACCAATTAAAGAAAAGTTAAATAAATGGCATGATGTATCATGTTCAAAGATCAAAAGATGCAATATTGTTAAGATACTAAATATCTCCAGATTGACTTATAGATTCAACTCAAGCCCAATCAAACTCCCATCAGATTTTTTGTAGAAATACACTGATTGTTTTTGTAGAAATAGGCTGATTCTTAAATTTACATTGAAATGCAAAGGACCTAAGTTAGCCCAAACAATCTTGACAAAGAAGAGCAAAGTTGGAGGACATATATTACCTGATATTAAAACTCATTAAATAGTTACAGTAAAGAACACAGTGTGGTGTTAGGGGTGAGGATAGACAACTACATGAGTGGAATAGAATGTAGTCCAAAAATAGAACACACATAATAGTCAATTGATTTTCAGCAAAGGTGCCAACATAATTCAGTGGGGAAAGGTGAACTCAGATTTACTGTTATGGTCTTATGTTACTTTTTCACATTTTACATATTAGTTGTTAAGGGCAGGGAGACTATGTCCCATTTATCTCCCATGAATAAACCAGGGCTTGCACATACCAGGCACTCCATATGTATCTGTTGAGTTAGATTGAATCAGAAATCAGAATGATACTCAGGAAGATGTATACCATCTATGTTGGGATTTGGTAAGTATTTTTAATAAAGGGAAGGCTCAGGTAATAGTTAAATTCAAAAACATATAAGCTTCTAGGAGCCATTTTTAGGATTAGATGAAAATATATATAATATTTATTGAGATCTGGGCAGATTGGGTGTTTCCAGAGATAACTTTTCTTTCCAAGATGTAACTACTTTGATTCAAGTATTTGATGAATATTGGATAAAGACACAGCCAGAGATTCATATCAAACTAGGCTCCCTATAACTAGAAGGGCCCCAGACATGGAAAGTACCAGAATAATGCTCATTCATTCATTCATTCATTCAGTGTTCATCATGTACTTACTAGGCACCAAGCATACAGTGATGAACAAGACCTACATCACTCTGTCACCACTTTTCTCATGTAGAAATCGCAGAGGATATTTTAAGGTTTCACTAAAATCAGAACTCTCTTAGTCTAGAATATAAATTAGTAGTGATGGCAGATTTTAGATCAATAATCTCATGCTCCTTCTGCTTTATATTAGTGTTACCCAATAGAAATATAATGTGAGCTACATATGTAATTTTTAAATTTCTAGTAGCAAAATAAATAAATAAATAAAATCTCTAGTAGCCACATTAAAAAAGTAAAAAGAAACAGGTGAATTTAGATTGGGTAATATATTTTATCTAACTTAATATACACAAAATATCATTATTTTGACATATCAATATTTTTTAAATTGTCGAAGTAATATTTTTAATTCTTTTTTTTTTTTTTTTTTTGGACTAAGGCTTCAAATCTCAGTGTGTATTTTACCCTTACAGCACATCTCAATTTAGTCAAGCCACATTTCAAATGTTGAATAACCACTTAGAGCTAGTGGCTACCTTATTGAACAGAGATAGGAATCAACTCTGAGTCAGCTACAGTCTGTTGAAGTTTATAAGTAGATTCCAGAAAGATAGAGAACTGATGGTACTTCTGGCCATAATGTTAGAGGGAAATCACAGTATCCAGGAAAGAACCCCCATTATTCTGTTGCTAGAAACATCAGGATCTGTGGTTAAGATGAACCTAATTCTGTTATAGCTGAATAACTTACCACCAGCTTTCATCTGAAAGAGCTCCAGAGTTTTACTATATTTGGAGACAGCCAATGTGCAAATATATCCAAACCATCTTTGAGAATTTCAGATCTTTCCAGTGTTCAGTGATTTCTACCAATAAGACAGCTTTTCAGGCCCCTAAAAAAAAACCTGCTATTCATATTTCTCAATGAATTTTTGTTGGATGAATGATGAAATGAACCAGTAACCCACATACCAGTTGTCTGAGACACAAATAAAATATTTTCAGCTCTAGGTTAATGAACCCATGCTCATTTGCATGCTTGCCTTCCATTTAAAATTCTTATGCATCCAACAGAATAATGCTTTCCCTTCATTCTAAGGTCATTATTTCCATTAGGCTATAATATAAATCCCCTTATTTTCAAGAATAAGACTAATTTACTACACTGGGCACAATGAGCTATATTTTAGATTCTCAATTTATAATATTTCATCAAGGCTGAATCTTCACTAAGATTTAGAGAGGGAGTGAGTTGGAGCCAGCCTGCACTTAATCACTATTTTAACAAAACATTTACAGACTCATCAGAAAATTAGTTTTTCCTCATATGCAGTAGAGTTTCTTTAGGTGGGTGGTGCCATCCATCTTCACCTCAACAGAATCACCTGGCAAGTAGAATCCTGGGCCCACTGCTGAATCAAAATCCCTGAAGGTGTTTTCTGGAAATTTGCATTTGTAACAAGTACTAAGGGAGAACTCAAGTACAATAAACCTTGATAACCACTGCCCTACACTGAAATTCCACTTTAGTATACTTAAAGATAAAATTGCATACTACCATTTAAATCTGTTTCACCACTGGAGGAAATGCTATTTTCAGTACTTAATTTGTTCACTACCTTTGTTGAGTATTTCATTGTGTATTGTAATTGCCCTTTAGAGAGTACTCATCATTCAGCCCATAAGATGGATGCTGTGCTTTTTTTTTTTTTTTAAGATTTATTTATTTATTTTAGAGAGCGAGACCATGGCAGGGAGGGGCAGGGGGAGAGGGAGAGAGAGAATTCAAGCAGACTCCCCGCTGAGCATGGAGCCTGATGCAGGGCTCAATCTCATGACCCTGAGATTATGACCTGAGTCAGACGTTCAACTGACAGCCACCCAGGCACCCTGTGCTTTCTTGATATATAAGTTATGAATGATGGATTCAACCAAAGTAAAATTTACACTTCTCTTAAATGTCTAAAATCAAACTGACTACGACCCAGATGATAGTCTTTTGCACCTTCCAAGTATAGTCTCCAAATGTTTGTGGCAAGTGTTAGGAAAGGTTCTTTGTTTTGTTGTGTCTTTTTCCTATGAAATCATTTTAAGGGTACTTTAATTCAGTCACAATTTTACAGGTAGCTATTGAGCCAGACCCAAGTACTAGGGCTTCAAAAATGAATCTGATTTCAGTATTAGACTTCAAGGGAGTCCTAGCCTCCTCAAGGCAGGGATGAGGGGCAGACACATAGCCCTGTGTTAAAATATAATGCAGTAAGTTTTTATGAGGTGCCATTGGAGTAGAGAGAAGTGAGACAGGGCACAAAGGGGCTGGGATTCATAGAGGTTGTGCTGTGCTCTGTTTGAGTGTGAGCCATAGTCAACCAGAGAAGTGGAGTCATTCCTACAGGCTCATCCAGGACACAGGGAAGCTCAGAACATGGGTCTCCTGGATCCATACCTGCACTCTCTCTACTACACTCAGCTTTCTCCAAGAACCTGGCCTTCAAAAGCACTCTGGCTTCACTTTTTTTATACCCAAAGCTCTCTCTGGTTGTGAGTAAGATGTTAAGGGTGATACATTTCCTTTTCCGGCCACTAAGATGCCATTTAATTCACTCCAGCAATAACTAAATAGAACCCTACCTTTAAAAGATGCTGAGAGCAATGTGCTGCTAATTTATTGCCACATCTATTAAAGCTCTAGAGACAATTTGACTCCCTAGATTTTAAATATGGTAGAGATATTATGTTTCCCGATTTAATCCCTCCATAAATTAAGTGAAATGATTATAGTACCTGTTGTCACTTCATTCTTGCCCTATCTCCAATCACTCTTCTGCCTTCATTAATTCAGAATAAAATACCACAAGACATTAATGTAGCACTTGGAGATAGGAAGCCTGCATTTTTATAGCCTCAATATGAAATCCTACTTAAAGATGCTTACACCTTTACTGAATGAGGGGAAAAAAACCCAAAAACCTCTTCATCTCCTAATAACCTTCATTACGAGTGAGGAAACCAAGGCTCCGAGATGTTAAGTGGCTTGCCCAGGGCCACCGTATGAGTAATTACCAGAGCCGAAACGCCCACCCAGGTCTTCCAACTCCCAGCTCAAGGCGGTATTTCTAGGATATCCTCAAATCTTCTAGAGATTCTTTTAAAGCAGTCTCCTCACTGTTTGCAACAGGGCATTATTGCCAACATGTAAACAAAAACAAAAATCTTGGCATTCCCCCATCACTTTCTCATCACTGTTTTTAGTTTATCACTTCACAGTCATTATTTGGTGTTTTCTTACAGAAGGCAACAGACCACTGCAACAGAAACTATCCTTAGATGGGAATCCCAAACCTATACATGGAACACCAGAGAGGTCAGATGGCCTACAGTGGTCAGCTGAGCAGCCTTGTAACCCAAGCAAGCCTAAGGCAAAAACATCTCCTGTTAAGTCCAATACCCCTGCAGCTCATCTTGAAATAAAGCCAGATGAGTTGGCAAAGAAAAGAGGTAAAGTGATTTCTTTTGCACAAATGACTCAACACATTTTGCACACTCAGAGAAGTGCCAGAATGAAAGAATTTTCCAAAGGATGCTGCTTAGTGCAGAGAGATGCCCATGCAATTGCATTTCTTTCTGTGACCCACATAGTTTAAAAAGTAGATGTGATTCCTCCCATGTTCATCGAAGGTCTCAGATGTTTAAGAGGAATTACATCCCCTTTCTCTGCCCCTCTGTGGTCATTCTTCTCTTCGTAGGCATGGATAGATTTGCACCATGAATCCTTTCTACCTTCATATTTTATGAAGCAAACGTTAATGCGGGAGCCCTTTTGGTAATGTGACTGCCGAATGTTTCCCTGGCACACACGTTCTTAACTTGCACTGAATGAAGATGAATCTAGAGGCTGATATGACCTTCCTCATGTAAATTCAGTTCTGTGTTAGAACTTGCAGACAGTATAACCCCAAAAGAGGATTTTATCATTGACACACTGTGTTTTTATTGTATTTTATTGCATTTTGGACTTTGTTATACTTTACACATAACTGGTATTAAACACGAAAGGTTTAATCACTTCCTTTCTGATTCCCAGAAGATGAAATGATATTCTTCTGATTCAGCCTCAGTTGTATCTGATTTCCTTGGCTTTGGTTTGATAGACCTTCTTACTTCTCTTGAGGGAGAGTTCTTTCTTCTAAGAAACGTGGCCTTGTTGGGATCGGTACAATTTGCCCATTTGCTCTGCCCTACCCGTGTACCTTGGTGACGGTTTCAGGAAACCAGGCGAGATTGGCAGCCCTCGAGCAGCTCTGAGGGCTGCCGCTCTAATTACAGGCCTGGCTCGGGACTGATGGGAACCAGAGCCAGCATACCCGGCTCCCTCCCCTCCAGAGCTCATTTGTACCTCTCCCAATCCCCATGTCCTTTTCCTCCTCCAAAAGCCCTGCTGGCTTTTAACCACACAGAGTGGTGAGAGCCAGCAGCACGAATGGTCTTCAGACGTAATCAGATTCTAAGAAACTGTCATCTGTAATAGAACATAATGATCAGAGCCCCTTTCCAAAGCACAAGGGAGGCACGTGTGCCCAGAAGGGCCCGCCTGCAGCACCCACTAGTCAAACCACAGCACCAGTCACCCGCTGGGGTTTTTTTAAAAGTCTGGGTTGTAAACACGGAAACATCTTCTTGACAGAACTTTTTTCTTTTTTCATTGAGAAACAAAAGATAAATCTCTCTCTTTTTATTAGGGGTAGGGGAGTTAGCTGCTTTTGTTGTTGTTGTTTAGCTCAGATAGAAAAAGATAAAGTGTTCAATTTAACATTTTTTTCATGACATTACTTTTAGGCCCAAACATTGAGAAATCGGTGAAGGATTTGCAACGCTGCACTGTATCTCTAACGAGATACCGTGTCATGATCAAGGAAGAAGTGGATAGTTCGGTGAAGAAGATCAAAGCTGCCTTTGCTGAATTACACAACTGGTGAGTAGTTCGACTTAGAAACTATAAACTGACGGCACTTGAGCTGTTCCTACAGGTAAAAGCATCTGATGGGAAATGTTGTTTATTTAATACATAAACATCACAGAACAACTCCTCAGCAAATTTTTTTAAATCCTGCAGGCAGAGGCCTATATCTTGGGAATAAAAAAGAAGGGAAAATGTTTGAATAAGAAGAAACCCGATACACATAATTCATTGGAGTTTGAAGTTGGCCCCAAAGTATATGAATGATGTAGAACACAACCTCAACAAATAATATTTTTGACAAATCCCTGGAAGGCTAATATCATGAACGCCACTGAGAAAAAAAAATTTTCCAGCCTTATCATTATAAAATAAGAAAGACTCCCTTAACAAAACTCAGAAACATCTTAGGCAAGCTTAGTGATAGAATCCCATTCTTGGGTATCTTGAGACTGGGGAATTAAGAAATGATACACTGGTGTGGTTTTGGTCCTGCCTTGCCCTGCTCTGCAGCTGGTGTTGATGGGAGACATTTCTTTGAGCTCTGTATATTTGCTCACGTGTACTGCATGACTGAAATGAGGTATCTACTGGTAAAGGTTAAGTTACTGTCAGTAGAAAAAGTTCTCAGTGTATCAGTCAAGACTCTTCCAGTTTCATGTGACAGAAACCCAAGTCACACTAGTTCACGACAAAGGATAATTTATTGGCTGATGTACATGAAAAATCCAGGAGATTCCTTTAGGCAAATTTGGTTCTAAGCCCAAATTGTGTTCTGAGAATTCAGTTTCTCTCTCCCTCCCTCCCTTTCTCCTTTTCTCCTTCTCTCCCTCCTTTCCTCTCTCAGCCTCTCCTACAATCTCCCTGGCTCTGCTGATTCTTGGCTTCATTCTTAGGTATGATCTCTCCCATGTGGTAGCAGAGG